AAGCTAAATGAAACCTAGAAATAGAAGTAAAAGTTGCAGGTAAGTTTAAGAAGATTAAGTGGTGCTCCAGCGAATTCCATGGATTCCATGGAGAAAACAAGAAATGAAGGAACGGTGTGAAAAAAAAATTTGTTTTTTTTTTCTTAACATAAATTGGGTGGGAATCACAACTAAAAGTCTAAAAACCATTTTAACTATCTTTTGGAAAATATTTTTGGAAGTACAAGATAATGGTAAATATTTGTTTAAAACACCACACTCGTGTACAAAACTCTTCAATTGAGTCTCCTCATTTTCTTATTTTTATGTAAATTAATTTCATTATTTAATTAACATTAGTTGTTTCAGAAATAATTAATAAAACTACTTTCCATTTATTTAAAAAAATATCATAATCAATCTCAATCTTTTCCTTTACTTCAATTATTGGGTTCGCAAATTTGTCTTCAGCTCTTTGGCTTTTTTTATGTCACTTTCATTTTGTGTCATCTTGCGAACTTCTTTAATCTTTATGCATTTTCTTTGTAGCGTTTTATCCAATTTTAACGCCTGCATATCTTTATTTTAAATAGTTATATTCATGCCTTGAGTCATAGTTTTCTTAGCAACTAAATGAGATGAATACAGTTTGCGAGAGGATATCTCAAGACGAGCAGTGGCGGATCCAAAAAAGAAAAAATTGATGGGTTGTACAAATTTTTTAGGGGGTCGATTGCACTGTTAGAAAAAAAAACTTGTTCCCGAAGGAAGTTTCTGTCACAAAATCGTCACTAAACGGATGGATTTACACTAAATTCACAATTATCAGACTTTGTGATGGATTGCTGACGGATTTATGACGGATTTCCAACGAATTTGTTATGATTTTCAAAAAACTCACTAAATTTACATTTAACGGGAAAATTTGAAGGGTAGTGTGGGCTACCCTAGGCTACATAGTAGCTCCGCTCCTGAAGACGAATGGGTCAAGTGGATTTAATACAGTCTCCTCTAACTCCAAAGGTGTGGTTGGAGACTTATTTCAACAAACTGGTTATATCTTTTGAATTTAGAATCATGATTTTTGAAAAACTTTTTTCTTTTTATTTTCATGGTGTTTTAATATAAAAATCATTAATTTTTTTCTTTGCTAAACGGTTAAACAACCACAAAAATCACTACAAACTTAAATTTTAAAAATCAATATAAAAAATGAGAGTATATTGCAAGGCTAGGCATAGAGGAACTCGGTTTTTCCAAGGAGATTACCTCATATAGGTTGGTATTAAGGTTGAAGGCTACACAACATGATTGATGGGTAGGATCGCCCCCTTGTATGGTTTGTTTGTTGATCCGTATTATTGATTTATATTACTTGCATATATCACGGTTGATAGGTAGTGTCGGTCCGTGTATGCTTTAAATTGAAACTTGACACCTCTCTCAAACATTATATATAGGGTAAATTACATAAATGGTCCCTATGTTTGGAGTAATCTGTGTGTTTGGTCTCTAACTTCTTTTTTTAACTCAGATAGTCCTTAGTAAATGTTTTTGTTGCACGTTTGGTCCAATACCAGATGTAAAATGACTATTTTACTCTTTGTAATATTTTTCTATCATTTTTTTTAATCACGTCATTATTATTAGAGGAAATTAATAAGGAAATATGGGAGACCCCACCCTTCTATCTTTCTCCCCTATCAAACCAGGCATGATCTCCATCAACACCCGCTAAAAGTTCTTCCTTGAAGTTCCACATCTACCCAGCCATCTTTGTCCATCGTCCCCATATCCTCCCCTTACTCTGCAAAATTATAACCCTAGTCAACATCGATACTTGTGTTTCCCTCCATTATTTTTTATAGCAACCCCGCCTCTGATACTAGCTCTACCTTAGATACTGGTGTTTTCATTTCACCTCGATATCCTCCCTCTTTCCTCTGATACAGAAGAAATCAATCAATCAAGCCACCACGACTTAGAGCATACAGAGTTTAGAAACAATTTCAAAGCTAGAAATCAAAATCAAACATGAGGAATTGATCTAAGAAACCAAAACTAAAACCATAAGCGTGTTTTTTGAAATGAAAACTGATTACTAGATCATCCCAATTTCTAAAACACACAAACTTCATCGATTTCTATAACATACTGATTTTAGATGCCGATTTCAAACCTAATGGAGAAGCGGTGGTTATATTTCACGTCAGGAATAGAGAACGACATATATGGATGGTGGGGAGGGCCATGGAAAACTGATGGACTACAACCACTGAACCGTTGGTAGGATATGCAACTAAATTGTCGGCGACCACGACCACTGGACCACTCATCTACCTGTATCCTAAGCAATTAATATCGGAGATATCCAGGTGATTTCCAAGTGGGGTATTGGTTATCGGTACCTTTCAAAATAGCAGTGTCAAATATCAATCCAAAATATCATAACTACAAAAATTGGTGATATTTACTTATATTTAACCAATATTTACCGATATTTCCAGGTGATTTCCACGAGGGATATCGGTTAAGTAATTTTACTTGCTTCTATTAGTGTTAAGTTATAGTCTTAAGTCTTATGTTCTTAACTTAACTAAACTTGTTGTTATTTAAGTACTTAATTATTCTTAACTGGTCATATTCTTGTGTTAAATGTTAAATACGTAAATGTTAACTTGTTGGTTTTTACAGGTTTGATCATTTTGTTATGTTAAGTACTTAATTCTTAACTGAGAACGACGACGACGACGACACTTTTGATTTTTGACTTTTGATATTACTATTATATATATATATATATATATATACATATATTAACTTTGCATGATATAAAAATATTGATATCCCACCGCGATAACTTATATCTCAAATATCGGCCCTTGACCGATACTTGATTTTGGACCCGCTATAATTGCCTAGCTTGTATCCCTCACGTGCCTTCTCTATCTCTCCCTCCGTCTCTCTCTTTCTTTATTTTTCTCTCTCTCTTTCTCACACACACACACACACACACACACACACACACACACACACACACACACACATATATATATATATATATATATATATATATATATATATATATGTGTGTGTGTGTGTATGTGTGTATGTGTGTGTATGTGTCTGTCTCTCTTTGTGTGTGTGTGTGTGTGTCGAATGTGTTGCCCGAGAAGTTGTTTATGGTTTGGAACCCTTATAAGTGATGATATAATAAAGTTTGTTTTCGGCGTGGTTTCCCCGGTAGGGTAAGAGGACAGAAAATCTAGTAAGAAAATAAGAGTGGGAAGAAATACATGGGTAGAGTGGGCCCCATTTATAATTTACCCTTATATATATATATATATATATATATATTATATATATATATATATATATATATATATATATATATATATATATATATATATATATATATATATATCGAGTGGTTCAAATGAGAACCACAAAAGATTAAGAATCGTAAGAACCCCATTTTATAAGTAAATATGTACACAATACTTATTAAACATGTTATAATCCTGATTTTTTGTCTTTTTGGTACGAAAAGGGCAAATTTGTAATTTTATAGTCTAATATTTTCATTCATACATTGATTCATATTTTAACACAAAAATTATATAAAATACAAATTAATACAGTCTATTTATAGTTTAGTACACAAAATTCACAATTTAAATACAATCATAATATGAATAATTTACTAATTTACGGGAGTCAAACCCAACATCTACCACCACCACCAACTACCACACGTCAGCACCAACCATCTATGTCAACGTCGCAACCATCATTTCATTCAAACCAAATTTGTATATAAAATCATGCATTGTCAGCTTAAATACTATATTAACGGTTTAGTAAACCTATTAATTCACTAATTTAGAGTTTAATGCAACAATTATAAAAACTAATACATTCTTATATATTTACTCCACAACAAAATACTCACAAAAAAAATTAATACAAATATTCATATTTTAGCTTAAAATTCATAAAAAAAAAATCACAACTTAATACAATCTATTCACATCTTAATACAGCCAATTCACAGCTCAATATAGTCAATCTACAATTTAGTGCACAAAATTAACAACTTGATATATTAAATTCATAGTTTAATATACAAAAACTATACATTCGCATCCATATTTTCTACTTAAAACTTATATGTATACCTTCATATATGTGGGATAGTGTTTCTTTCAAGTTTTAATTTTCATAATATTCACAATGTAAATTTTATTTAATTTATTCAAAATTATAGAAAGTAAAATCTATGTATAATGCTTCTTTCATCTCATATTTTAGAAGCAAACATAAAATTCGTAAAAAAAAAAATAATAACAACTTAATATACTCAATCCACAGCTTAATACATTTAATTCACAATTTAATACACAAATTCACAGGTTAATAAAATATATTTATAGGTTAAAAATTCCATATATTGATGTTTGGAGCCTTGGAGGTTGTATTAGATAGCAGTTCACACACTTATCTCAATTCACAACTTAAAAACCTTAAATTCATATCATTTGAGAAAACACTAATATAATAAAAAAAACACGTTTAAATTCACATTTAAACTTATAAAAATTCATACATATACTGCTTAAAACTTATAAAAAATTCATTTAATCACAACTAAAACTTATGAAAATAATCATGTATTCACAACTTAATACTTATAAAAATCATGCATTCACAACTTAATACTTATAAAAAAATCATGCATTCATAGCTTAAAATTTTTTCTAATTGAAACGGTCACATGTGTATAAAATCTTTGCATCAATAACTTAATAATTAAAAAAAAAAAAAAACACACACACACACACACTTATTCCCAACTTAAAAAACTAGTCTAGACTTTCATTCACAGCTTAATAAACTTGTTCAAAAACTAATTCATATTATTCAAAGTTTAAAAACATATCTTTTTTTCAGTGAGACATTTCATCAAACACCTTCGATGCATCTTATGTCCAGATTTGAGATTGTTCCCTTGCTTCAGATCCATGAGCACCGATGGTGGGCAACAACAACGGTGGTGCGATGTCAGTTGTGGTAGAGGTGGAGTCACATCAATGGTGGTAGCATTAGATCTGGATGTCACATCTGTTGGGGGTGATTTCTGTCAGATCTATTGTTCCGACGAAGCAAATCAGAGAAGTTTTCTTATATTTCATCAGATCTGGACGTCGAAGATCTGGAGACGAACTAGTTCTGGACTTCGGAGTAGAGTGTGACGTTTTTTGGTGTCCGACGAAACACAGTAGCTGATGTTAGGCGGTGGTCGGTGGTGATAAGGTCGACTATCAGATCTTACCAAATCACACAAGATCTGATATGTTTTGCGTTTTAGAGAGAGAAAGTGAAGTTGAAACAACTTTTTGACTCCAGATCTGAGACCAAGTGGCGATCAACAGTGATGGAGGAAGGTGGTGGTTATCACCACTCGCCGGAGCTCATAATCTGGAGGGGAAAATCGAAGATCTAAAGTCGAAAATAGTAGATATAAAGATGAAAAGCATAGATCTGAAGAGGAAAATTGTAGATCTAAAGTTGAAATTGTAGATCTAGAGGAAAATCATAGATCTGAAACAGAAATTATAGATCTGGAGCCAACCGGAGCTTGTGGATCTGGTGGCGGTGGTTCGTCAGCGGTAGGAGGCGGCGGCGGTTCGCCGGCGGTAGTTGCAACGGCAGTCAAGGGTGGTGGCTGGTGGCTAACTGGTGGTAATGTTTGTGTGTTCTTCAAGTTTGAGGTGAGAGAGAAAATAACCATGTGAGAGTGTATGTAGTATGTGTAGATCTGATATAACAAAAGATGAAACTGGATTCTTGTGTTATACTTTAATAAAAATGATTTTTAAGTGGTTCTCAACCTTTAATGGTTCTCATTTGATCTTTTGTTTATATATATATATATATATATATATATATATATATATATATATATATATATATATATATATATATAATAAACCATATTAGTCATATTTTGAATTTAAGAGGTATAAGTTACAAAACTTCTTGTACAAATCAATTATGCATAAATAGATCATTAATATTTCCCAAAAGTTTGAAATTTTGAATTAAGGAAAATAATTAACAAATTCAATTTGGAGCAAAGTGAAAATTTTAAAATATTAAATTCATATATATAAATTAATTTACATTTCTTAAACTAAACACAAATATTAATTAATTTACATCAATAATATAAACATAAGGTATCAAAATAAATATTTTATTAAAAAATGATAATTTTTTATTACATAATAACTAATAATAAAATCTAATAATTATTTCTCGTAAGAAACAATTCGCCAAAAAAACTATTTATCGTTGCCTCTTTGCGCGGGCACACATCTAGTGTGTGTATATATATATATATATATATATATATATATATATATATATATATATATATATATATATATATATATAAAGTTTGTAAGTAAGAATTATTTTCCATTTCGTTTACTATTTCCAGAATGAAATTTACTAAATCGATATGAAATTACAAGATCCAACATTCCAAATATACTTTTGAAAATAGAGAATATGTTTATGAGATAACAAAATTTCATATTTATATTTTTCCTCTATCAAATAGTTTTCATTCTTTGTAATTTTAAAATTAAATTATTGGTATTTTTTAAGTTACGATGTTGGTCTCTTATTTTATTTTAAAGTTATATTGTTGGTCATTTATATAATTTCTTTTAATGGTTTTTGTTTTTGTTAATTTCTTTAAGATATATATTTTCAAACTTTATTTTTGTCCACCTCCGCTATATCTAATCGTTTGAATCAAAACTTTATTTTAATATTTTTGTGGTGTATTCGATATGGTACAATTTTCGATGTACTATATATAAATTGTTGACATTTATAATCTATATATGAATGTCATATGAGTTACTTTTGCGCATTAAAGCTACATTTTGTCCCTTACATAATTTATTTTTATAGTTTTCGTTTTACTAATTTTTAGAAGACATTTTCAAGCATTATTTTCGTCCGGCTACTTTATAAATAGTTGTTTCAATCGAAACTTTATTTTAATACTTTCGTGGTCCACTTCATATGGTATAATCGTTATCGTGTTATATATGGATTTTGACATTTTTAAATTAAATTCTACATACTGATTGCAAACGATCTACCCGCGTATTAAAGTTACGTTTTGGTCCCTTATATAGTTTATTTTTATAGTTTTTGTTTTTATTAATTTCAAACGAGTTCTCCGCCACAATGCGCGAAATAACTTAAATACTAGTTATCTTTAAATTGAAACTTGACATCTCTCTCACAATATCAACATTTTTTTTGGCTTACCCAAACCCACCCATCTTACACTTTGTTGCTTAAAAATCATCACATTACTATCAAATCCAAACCCAAATTACTAAATAATGTGCAGTCCCATTAACTTCAATACAACCAACAAACTAATACAAATACTCCATCATCTCCAATCTCATGAGATATCAACATATACATTTGAAATCTTTCTATCATTAGAAACAACACTTCCTCGATCACAGGCAAATAAACCCGGAATTAGTTGGAAGTTGAGAAGGCGCGCATGCACCCGCCCATGCAAGCAAATCCTCTAAACGCTAGCCTATATATATATATATATATATATATATATATATATATATATATAGAGGTTCATATGAGACCATCATATTTGGTGAGACATAAGGACGCAATTATAGTCATTTATTTTTTATATAAAAAAAAATTTAATGCAAAATAAACGAAAATTTTCGGAAAAAAAATTTTAATATTATTTTCCTAATTTAATTAATCAAAAAAAAAATAAAAAAAAAATACCGTTTTTTTTAAAATATAGATGAAATATTCTAATAGATTATTATACTGTAAATATTCAGATCGAATTTTTAGAATGTTAGAATATTCTACTAAAATACTAAACTATAAATATTTAAAAAATTCTAATTGAATATTAGTATATTCTAACAAATTTAAAAATTCAAATAGAATATTATAATATTTTAACATATCTACCAATTTTAGTAGAATATTAAAATATTCTAACATTTTAAAAATTCGATTTGATTATTTACAGTGTAATATTCTATTAGAATATTTCACTAATATTTTGAGAAAAAAAAATGATTTTTTTTATTTTTGGATAAATTAAATAACAAAAATAATATTTAAATTCTTTTTGGATTTTTCTTTTTATTTTGCAATTTATAATTTTTTTTATCTCAAAAATGAGTGGCTAGGGTCGCTTCCCATGTCTCACAAAATTAACATAATCTCAAATGAACCTCTTTATTTATATATATATATATATATATATATATATATATATATATATTATTTTGAATCGAAAATTAATCGGCGTGCACCGGTATTGGCACTTGCTTTCATAGATCTCATCATTAGATCCTATGAGAAAAAGTTATAAATATTTTGTAACTTTTTTAAAATTGAAATCCATCCACATGCACATATGACAAAGTATAAACAATTATTACTTTTCAGCAAATTCAGGGCAAGGCCAATTGGTGCAAGCTGCCTCTCTTCTCCTGTGCCATTTGTGTCCATACTAGATAGTAAATGTGGTTAAAGGACCCTACAATTTAATGCGAACTCATAAAAAATAAGGCATAACTTAAGTAACCATTCTTCAGTTAATAAAACCAAACAACATATCCAAAACGGCCCCAGTCGATTCAGACTTCAGAGGTGGATCTTTACGAATCTCAGCATAAAAGACAAATCGGATGATTTCAACTCTAGAAATGAAAAAGAACCATAACTAGTTACCAATCACATTATGTTTCAAATTCAAATAAACCAACCTACAATTACAACACGAAAAACATAAACAACACAAAAACATCCCCACTAAAACAACTTACTAAACTACACTCAGTAAAAAAAAAAAAAAAAAAAAAAAAGACAAAACTAACCTTTTACAAGAGAGACAACATTCATATTCATGATTCATCTTCATCTTCATCTTCACTCCCCTCAATCTTGCTAGTAAAAAAAGCCTTTGCATGTCGAAGACCCACACAAACACTTTTTTTTCACAATCCCCTTTTTCTCAACCCGTGGGACCCCATAATTAAACGTTAATTCCTGCAAAGGTGCAATATGCTTAATCGCATATAATCCAACATGTAAATACGATTCCTCTTCATTTTCCCTCATAATTGGTTGCCAATAAACATTAGGCGAACAACTATGGTTCATAAACCGGCCCACATTCCCTTTATTTTTCGCACTAACAACCAACGGAAACGGAATCTTAACAGGCTCATCAGTAGGCACGAGCTCCAACGGGTCAAAAACCCGACCCGCATCAAATACATAATTATCATCACTATCAATCCCACTTTCAGTAATCACTTCACCCGCATACTCACATATAAAAGCTCCAGCCCGTATCGGGTCCCACGACCTAAGTCCCCAACCTTTATTTTTAGTTCTGAAAACCTCTAAACGGAGTTTCAACCCCGTTTGTGACACCCGGTTTCTGCAACTTGGAGGACATAAACATGAAGGCCCACATTCATGAACAATTAAATTATGACTTAATAAAATACCCGTTGATGAATACGGAAGATACCCGTTGTTTTTTTCCACACAAGGGCAAGGAGTCGAGGGTTGACATCCGTTTGAGCATCTACAGCTTAAAGATTTTGAAGTTCCGTATGGTTTCCCGTATTTCAAAGAGGGCAAATACGTAAAATACGCGGGACCCTTTTCGCTATCCACATCGTTTACTAAACAAATGGGTAAATTTTCCGCACCGGAGGTAAGATCGGGCAGGATAACCCCGACTCGGGCAGTCACCCCATCTCTCCATTGTTGAATTGATTTCCACAACATAAACCCTTCGGGCTGCCCGGAAACCCGAATGAGTTTATACTTGAATACATTGCAACCCGATTTTCCTTTTTCAATCCAAGATTCGTGGATTTTGTATAACCCATCATAAACATATACTTTTCCAGTTGCACTTGTTCCATCTTTAAGACCTCTAACAACTCTTACTTCATTACCTCTATGTAAGCTCTTTTCTAAAGCAAGATTACCCCTTTCGAGTTTTTGATCCATGAGTAATTTATCGCTTCTTTGAACACCACCTTGACCACTGTAAATTATTACCTCTCCATCATCTTCTTCATCTTCATACCCTCCTGCTGAAACGATACTTACTGCAATCGGTTCTTCATCACCACTGACTTTAAAACTTAAGTAATCTATCCCTGCCATGATTGGAGCATGTAATCCCACCAAACAGAGCTCCATTCTGAAAAAGAAAACATCACCAATATCGACACCGGGTACGGGTCCGACCCGTCTTTTTGTATTCACCCGGGCACCTTTGTTCATCAAGATTGTACCTGACCGTAAATCTGCCCGTCTTGAAATTCCCGGGATTACCCCTTTTGCATCATCGAGCTGTGTGATTTTTCTCCTTAGTAGATTGTAAACCAAAACCACACGTTGGACTAATTCATGATTACTATCAGCTTGAAGAATTGTATCGATTTCAAGAAGGCGAAAAGATTTCAAAATATGATTAACTAATGGATCGATGTCGACTTCAGAGCTAGATACAGCTACTGCTTGTGCTCCTTTCACTGTTTTCCGGATTTTTCGCTTTCTTTTAATGGCATCACCGCTGTCTTCTGTATCGATTGTGAACCCGTTTTCATATCCATCACTTTGAGTGTATCCTTCATCATATGGTATCACATTCTTGGAGCTTCTTCTTGTTGTTGTTGGT